GAAGAATGAAACTGAAGGATACTGACACTCCTGGCCCAAAGCACTTTACAACAAAATATTAACAAGCACTGCAAAACAAGAATCTCTGTGGCTATATCGCCCTCATAGATAATCACTATTTGTACAGGCTTTTGGAAAATGCAAAGTAAAGCAGAAAGTCTGAACTGTTACCATAAAAACTTTGTTAAATTTTACTATTAAACAAGACCCCCACACCCACCCCCACCCAAGTAATTAAGTAAAAGATACCACAATTAAATTGGCAGAAAAGTTGCTGCTTTCCACTCTGATATAGAAATGTCTAATTTTTTTTACTCTGTTGTTGTTTTTTGTTGTTGTTGTTTTTACAGTGAGTCCACAGTAAAGGACATTTTTTTATGAATAAATGAAAACTTAATATGTTAAAGTTACAGGAAAGTCTACCAGAACCTGTTCTGTAATTTTACATATTGGTCATTTAGCTTCACTGGTCCAGCTGAATGTGTCCACAATGTCAAATGAGTTGTCTGATTTGAATCATGGCATGCAGTTAAGAAATGGAAGCATCTGCAAAAAAGAGGTTTGAAAACAGGCAAAAAGCATTACAGCCATACTACTTCACTTCTGTTTTTCTCTGGAAAAACTGTGGTTTATTTGCTTTATCTCGTAGTACCAATGCTAAAGATAGGGAAATATAAATCCCAGATGACAGGAGATAAGAGAACACCCAACAACAACGGGCTTCCCATGGGAGCAGTCTGATTGCACAATGCTCTTGAAGCTGTCACTGCTGGTCAGGCCATCTAAATGCTGCTGAGCAGAGGAGAAGACAGACCCATCATTTTGCAGTAGATGGTGGATGCAGCAGATGGAAGGATAACAAAGTTTCACAGTATATGGGATGATGTTAGGAAATGGTTTTCTGCAGATGAACTAGGGATAGGTCTGAAAGATGTCTTATCTTTTTTTAGAACTTTCAGGACCGCGTACACTCTGTTGATGGTGTGTTTATTGGTTTACAGAGTCCTCATGACCGCATAATGATTTCAGATTTGATTAAAGTGAAGCTTTGGAGCTGACCTTAAATAAAGCAAACATTAAATTAGTTTTAAAACTAGCTGGATGCAGAACAACAGTGGAACAGTGAGTGATAAATAAGTTTCTGCATTGTAAATTGAAGAAAACAGGAGTAGGGGAGGAGTGTTTTTCTCTATCACAGCACAAAGAGCACCAGTTTGTCCGATATCATTACTCATATCTGTTCTGGCTGCATGTGCCACTTTCTGCTGCTTGCTGCTTTTCGTTTTTTTTTTTTTTTTTTTTTTTTTAAAAGGTATGTAGATAATTAGAAGTTACAACTTATTGTGTTAAATCTCGTTAGTTTGTTCAGTGTTTGTGTCTGTCATATGATAGAGTGAAATGTTTCCTGTTATCTGTGTCTGGCTCCATGGTGCAGTGGTTCGCACAATTGCTATAAAGTGAACTATTCCTTGTTTTACCCCAGGAGGAGACATATGTCCCTTGGGGTTTGTGTAAGGAAGACCATCTGATGTATAAAAAAAAAAATCTGCCAAATTAAGTATGCAGAGCTACCTGCCGTGGTGACCCTTTGTGAAGAAGGGAGGAGCTGTAAGAAGCTCTGCCGGTTCAAGACACAGTCTGCATATTTAAAGTATTATGTTACACATGCACTCACCGACCACTTCACTAGTGCACCTTTTCAACCGCTTGTTGACATGAAAGCCTAGTCACCCAGTCACATGACAGCAACTCAGTGCATTTAGGCATGTCGACATGATCGAGACGACAGCTGATTTAAGTGACTAGGTAAATGCTAGAAGGGCTGGTCTGAGTATTTCAGAAACTGTTGATCTACTAGGATTTTCGTACACAACCATCTCTAGGGTTTATAGAAGATAGTGTGAAAAAGATCAAAAGAAAAGGCCTCATCAGGCCTCAATCCAATGGAGCATCTTTGAGAGCATAGGGAGATTGACATTGTAGCCTTGCAGCCGTCAAATCTGCAGCAACTGTGTGATGCTATCATGTCAACATGGACTAAAATCTCAGAGGAATGTTTCCAGCACCTCGTTGAATCAATGCCATCAAGAAAAAAAGGCTTTTCTGAAGGGGATCCCACCCAGTAGGTGTACCTAATGAACTGGCTGCTGAGCATATTTTAACATATTACTGGACTTACAGTTTACAACTTGCAATGCAAAACAAGCAATTTGTTCTAACCCTCACCAGCTCTGCTATCATATAACTGTGTAAGACTGCATAAGGAACAGACTAAATTTCTCTACCCTCCATTAAGATTGGATTAGTAGGAAGTATTCTGGCTTTTGAAAGAATACCCTCAAAAACACAGAATTATCAGTAAAGTTAAGATTGGAATAATTGGAATTTGATGGAAAACCTGAGTGATTGAGATATTATTAGCAGCATTCAGAAAAGTTCCCAAAAGCACTAATATTAGCATTGTTATTAGCACAGACGTATGCAGAAGATCCATTAAAATAAAATCTGAGATCTTTGAGAACAGGATCAATCATTCACACCATTTCCACGATCTGGAGGAGAGCAGAGCCGATCTATGCCATAAAAGGGGGAAATATGACAATCTCGGAGTAAACCTCATCTTCAGGTTTGCCGTGTGAATCAAGACGCACAGCCTGTCACAGAGGATTTCTTTGACACAACGTCTGACAGCTTATGTTGCGTAAAAGCACGGCTTGGAGCTCTAACAATAAAGGACTCACAAAAACAGACATGTCAGTCATTGTCCTGACTTCTGCTCCCCTCTGCACACCCACGTGTGCTCGCTGGTCACAAACCTGCACAAACCACATGCACATTGGTAAAAAAAACAAAAAAAACAACACGCTTTAAAAAACAAGCACAGCCACGGACTTCAAATGGGTTTCCCGGTCTCGTACGCCCACACAGATTATGCAGAGCACATAGACATATGCAAACACCGACACATGAAAACATGAAACCTCTACACACACACACATTGACAAAGTATGGCATCCTTAGCCTTGACACTTTTACTGTTGGAAACAAGAGCACTGAGAGCCATTTCATTTACATGCAAATTGACACCCACAAGTCCACACACACACGCGTACACTCTTGCCTGACGTGTATGTGTGTGCGTTTGTGTGCTCATGTGTGAGCCGTGTAGCTGCTCTGCTGGCACTCAGCAAAGGTGCTATTCTGCCCTGCTGCTTTACCCGCTCACTGAAACTAGACACAAAGAGATAGAAAGGCAGAAGGAGAGATAAAGGCTCTGATTTCATTTTCCATATTTGGTTTAGCAGCTTCTCAGTTGACAAAACAGGCATGGAGAGAAGCCCACCAGAGGGGCCCCCCTGCAGCCGTGCGTTTGTCATCTCATGTTGGCACTGCATAAGGACGGGTTCAGGCCCAGAAGTGTCCTCTGATCACATTTTCCCTCTTGTCACAAGGAGATAAAGGATCACTCGAGGTGATTGAGCATTTTACGATAATGAGCTGCGAGAGGCTGATCATCGCAGCAGGAAATGTGGCTGAAATACACGAGAAAAGAATGGGATGGATACAAAAACAAAAATGCGACACCCTTAACCTGACAGAATTAACCAGCTCATGCACAGAGCGATGGATGGGTGTCAGGTGGGAGATAGCAGTGTAGCACCTCGCATAAAATCTGATATCTGTCACTCTCTGCTGGTTAGCATGAGACACTGCATCAAACCTTTCATGAAATCGTTTTATTTTAGTTCACATGTGTTCTTCTTAAATTGAATTAGGAATAATTTTACTTCATAATTTCCATGACCTACTGTGGGGCAACTATAAAACTGCGACTATGCTTTTCTCCCCGTCTTTGCAGGACAGCAAATATTAGTAATATTGTACAAGCTGAATTATGCTTGTACACTTCTTTTATGCAAGTTATGGTGACTAACAGCAATGAATCTGTGGGTGTAGGAGAATGTTTTTTGGAATTATCTTATCATTAGCATAAAATTATATGTGAGTGAATGGGGGGAAAAGATGAAGGGTGACTGTAGTGTTTGTTTGGTAATTTTTGTCCTTTCATACCCTTTTTATATACATATGGTGCTGTGCAAAGGTCTTGAGCCATCCCTTATTTCTTTATAATTTGATTGGAAAATGCACAATAGGTGTTTGTATAGTTCTAACAAGCTTCAATGTGAGAATTGACATTTATTCTTCAACACAATCTCTCTTAGTTCTCTAATCTGACATTCAATGCTCTTCTTTGGATGTCGAGTGGCTTTTTTTCTGTTCTCTGTATTTATAAATAATGTTGAGGTGCGTGCTCTGGGGAGGCCAGTCCATGACTGATAGCGATCCACTGTGTGTTTTTCTATGCAGGGATTCTTTCACTGCATTGGCAGTGTGTTTGGGGTTATAGTCATACTGAAAAATAAAATTGTTGTCATATGATGGGTCTGCATGACAGATCAAAATCTGACCGCAACTCAAGTTTGATGAGATCCCAGATTCCACTAACTGAAATGCAGCTCCAAAACACTGCAGACAGCAGACACTGTGTTTATCCTGGCCTCTTCCATATTTATTGTTGAAGATTTGAACCCACAATTTCTAATTTAACTTCATTATTCTGTCTCTGATAAGGCTTCGGTGAACAGTCGATGATCAACTGAAGGGTGGGGATACATGGGTCCTGTGTCAGGTCTTTGCTGGATTTTTTTTTTCTGCTTCTTAAGGACATCACTTTCAGATACTAATCATATTCTGCAGATAGTTTTTCATGCCTACCACACTGCACACCACACTGAAATATGCAAAGTTTTCACCTAATAGCTCTTCAGGAATCACCTCGTTGGTACAAAAATGCTACTTTATCTTATGTTATGTTTCATAGAATCAACAAAGAAACCCTAAAAATAACATTTCAAATGGTCAGGTACAATGACTGGACTAAAAATGATTTTTTTTTTTTTTTAAAGTCTTTCAAAAAATCTGGAGAACTATTGCTTGAGTCTGGTCAATTCTAAGAAAAATATAAAGAAATGATGGGTGGCTCAAGACTTTTGCACATTACTCTAAGCATGGGCCATCATACTACTAATACTGTAGTATGATGGCTGACAAATCTTGAATGCATGCCATCAGTTTGAACCCAAAATTTCTAATTTAATTTCCTTATTGTTTGATGGATTAAGCCAATTGTTACAGGCATTATTAGTGTGCTGTGTTCTCTGATTATCTGCAGTTAAAACCTTTCTAACAATATAATCTGCTAACAAGTTGATCTAATTTTAGCATTCATCTTTGCGCGCTTTGTCTGATAACACAGCAAATAAAACCAATTACGCAAAAACAAATCGTACGTACAGCACAATCCATTCTTCCCTCAATTAAAACAAATTAACCAATCAGTCACTGTAGGCTGATTTCATTTGCTATTAGGAGTCATTCGGCGCAGGCTGCAGTATAGAGTGGCAGCTAATCAGCGGCACATTTGATTATCTGTTGAGAGAATTATACACTCCTCGGTGTGAGGCACAGGCCGGGTTACAAAGATTATTTCTGTTAAATAGCTCAATGGCTAGGCCAATAGCCACAATCCGATTTAGCTCCTTTGGCACCAATAAACTGCGCTCACAACAAAACTTACATGGATCTTAATATATACCAGTATGCATATACAGCAGAAAAACAGCTCAAGTGTTAAAATGGCTCTCTGGCATCTGAAGTTTTTTGTATGCTTTGCATTTGTTTACTTATCATAATTGTCTAAGATTTGGGTCAGTTGATGCAGATTAGTGTATAGGACACAAGCAGTAACTGAAACCTTCACTTCATTGGGAGTAATATTTATTGTCATCTTTGTTAGGTCTGAGAAAATAAGGGTTTGATTCTGGGACTTTTGTGATTTCTTATGGACTGACTGTCCAGTAATATCGGTTCAGTTAATATACTATATTTACATTGATAAAAACAATAAATCAAATAACAAAATCCTGTGTGCACTCCAGTTTTATCTTTGATACTGTTAAATGTCATAGATAAATATCACCAAGTACATTCAGGATCACTAAAAGAAAACCCAGCAAAACTCTGAAGATAATCACTTAACTCGTTCTGATATGCCACCGGCTTCATTTAGCAAAACTGTATCAGCTCCTTCATGCTACATCCTTTCTCACAGCAAATATCAGATATTTTTCCAGCAGTTCGCCTGATCCGTGATGACAGAAGGTGAGGAGCCAAGGAGACGGCGTCCTTTTCTCCATCTGCCCTTGAAGCCGTGCGTACAGTCCCTGAAGTCAGGTACTCTTCTGTGGAGGAGATCTGCTCCCCTGTGCAGAGGCAACACATCTGGGATTTAGAGAGATCACTGTAAACGTGCAGCTTCATCCCCAAAAAATCTTGCAAACTTTTGATGTCAAGAAGCAAGAGTACGTCTTTCCCTGTTTACCTTTCATATATGTCATGAAAACACAAATAAAAGATTGTTTAAGTACTTACAGAGAGGAGCGTATTGATTCTTTTCCAGTCCTAAATCCGGGATGCTTCTCCTGGCCCGGGAGCTGCCGCAGGATGAGACGGCCAGACGTATCAGCTCTCGTCCACATATCTTGATCCTCTCCTGTGCATGTGCCACACACACTGCAGCCACTAGCACCGCCACGAGAGACACCAAACACCTAGCAGCCGGCATTGTATGATGTGTTACTGCTCCTCAGTTGGTTGGCAAAGGCAGAAAATGAGTGACCTGAGGAATTTGAGGGGGTTTATATAGGGAGTGTATGTAGTGGCCACAGGTTGTTCAAAAGTTGCATTCAGCCTTGGTGAGGGAAAAGCATGTCCTGATCAAAAGCTCAGCATGAAAGTGATGTGGAATCTCAAGGCTGAAACTCTCAGTGAGATAAAAAATCTGCTCTGGCACTGATCTTGTTTTTCAGGGTGGAAGTAACAAGTCACTACTTCTGCAGTTACTGTTGTTAAACTGCTTTTCTTTCTTTTCTTTTCTTTTTTTAATGAGTATTATTATTGTGTTATTATCATTATGAGTATTATTTTGGCTCGGGAGAAAGAGCAGGTCCTTTCCCAGTCTGAAGGTTGGTGGTTACTTACACATAGAAAGAAGTGCATCCATATATACATACGCTGACTTTTATATTTGAACCTCTGACCATGTTTTTTATGGGCATCCACCACTGTCCACTTTCGGTGTATTTAAACAAAGACTCAGTGCTTATATTTGATTAGCTTTTCTGCTTTTAGTCAACTTTCCTGTTGTTTGTTTATATTGCATTGTGCAGAATCTAATCTGGGTTTGGTGCTGACTTGTGGTTAAAATATTTTCCTTGACTATGAGTCCCTTTAGCATCTTATCTTAACACATCATGAAGGATGGGATCTAATCGGAAGAGAGTGTGACCGGAAAAAGGAGATGTCAAGGATTATGACGCAACTGTTCACACACATGGTCACCCTGTGGCTATACTGTAGTTGCTTAATCATACCAGAGGTGACTGCTTCATATCTCCAGCACAGATGAACAATATGAAAGGTGACACTTTAACATCTAAAATGCACTTCTGGCTATGATTAGCATTTTAACCTCTAAGGATGATATCACTGGTAGGCAGTGGCCTGTTTGTTATTCTCAGCTGCTGTGCTCAGCGCAAAGCACCTTGATTATTTCTTCTTCTTTTTTTTTGCCTTCACAGATTCTTGCCCTTTATTTCTTGCTGAGGTTGATGCTGTGTGTTAACATTTTCAACCATTTAGCCCAGAACACACAGATGTCAGTCAGTTTGCAGATGTCAAATAAGCTGAGTATGTTTACCTCATCATGGCACTGCCTACTGCACCAAAGTGGAATCAAAGCTTTACTGCAACCTATGATAACTCATTGTTCTCTCTTTTGCCGATGTTCTATCATATGCCATATATATATATATATAATATATATATACAATATATATATATATATATATATATATATATATTATATATATAGTATATATATATATATATATATATATATATATATATATATATATATATATATATATATATATATATATATATATATATATATATATATATATATATATATACTATATATATATATATATATATATATATATATATATATATATATATATATTATATGTGTATATATATTATATATGTATAATATATATAACTATATATGTAATAGTAGATAGATAGATAGATAGATAGATAGATAGATAGATATAGATAGATAGATAGATAGATAGATAGATAGATAGATAGATATATAGATAGTATAGATAGATATAGATAGATAGATAGATAGATAGATAGATAGATAGATAGATAGATAGATAGATAGATAGATAGATAGATAGATAGATAGATAGATAGATAGATAGATAGATAGATAGATAGATATAGATAGATATAGATAGATAGATATAGATATATATAGATATATACACACATGAGGATCACTTTTGCCTTCACCCTCACATTTTTTCTAACTCCTAACTCAGCCCTTGGTATTTCTCAAGCTTCTCAGATTCCTTCTTGATGTTCATCCATTGCTTCCTCTTCTTGTCAACTACTATGTGTTAGCCTTCTAAATTTTCTGATTTCTCTCCTTCTGGCTGAGTCATGTGATACAGCCATACTCTTGAGGTGTAATTGATGCTGACGGCACAGTAAAACCAACAGTACCTATATCCTGTAATAGCTTCATTCCTCAGAAAGATAAGACAGGTGTCCACTAATAAATACGAACTTTAAGGTTCTTTTACGTTAACTAATTTTGCATAAGCGAGGTCTGCTGAAAGACAGTAATTTTTAATGACAAATAAATGGACTTTCTCATTTTTGTTTTTGAGTTTTAAATGGGGATACGTAGATACGTTTATTGTAATGAAGTAATTGTGATGTGACCTTCTTCTTTTACCTTAATCTTCAAAATTGAAACTTGCTCCAACTGTTGTTTCTTTCAGGCAATATCATAAAAATGTAACCATCCAGTCTGATAAAAATCGCCTAAAAATTTGTTGACTTTGTACACAAATGACGTTTTATAAGCTTTCTCCCCTGAAAGCTACACTTCCACCTCTGTCGCAGAATTCTATCTTAACTGAGTCACGTGTTTCTCCCACTGTAAACTGAACCACAACACTTGCAAACTACCCTGTTTAACCTGCACTTACTTTCCAGTATAAACTTTGGTATTATTATCATTTAATTCATTTTTTAAAAACATTTCAGAACATGAAATTGCTAACTTCAGCTACACACCATGCACAGAAACAGTGTCTGATTAAAAAAAAATCTTAAATTAATGAAATAACATGTAATCTTTGCATTTCCAAATGAAATCATGTCAGTCGCTATAGAAACCTTCCTTTTGTTCTTCAGCTCTGAGAGTAAAATTAATACACATTAACATGTTTTGCCATCACTCATCAAAAATACAGCCACTATACCTCTAGCTAGCAGACAGGTTGAGATCCAAATTGCACAGGAACAATTTGTGCATTAAATCTGTTGAGCTGTTTTGAAACGTTGAATTTGTAATTACCTGCCACTTATTAAAAGTTATTCCTTTTATGCTCACTCCTCTTCTGTACCACAAACACAACTTTATTGACAGGGATGGGACGGAAAAAAGGACGTGTGCAGACGGGATCATGTGGTGAACCCGTGTGTGGCATCAGAATCATCCAGAAAGACTGCAGAGCATGAAAACTGAACTGTTTGACAGTGTTTTATATTAAACTTCCTATCAGATATAATTACTCAATAACTGAAGGTGCCACCGTTCCGGACCACTTTAACCCCAGATCAGAGGGTAAATTAGACACATCTGACACTACATTTGATCGTTCGCTCCTTAATTAGTGCACTTGCACAGAACTTAATGACAAGGAAACATCAGTCACTAATGAGTCATTGTCTCTGATTATTATTCAAATGGATGAAGTCCCAGTCTGCTGTAAAATGGATGTTCAGGATGTCTTTCATGAGCAGAGGCTCAACACAATATTCCTGCAGTTGGAAATGGAGTGTAACTCCCACAGCATCTGTCGTGACTGACCAGAGAACTTGTCTCTAATCCCCTCTATCTGTCCCTCTTATTTAAAACCAGTGTCGAGCAGATGAGCCAAGAAAACTGTGGTGTCTGTATCCGCGAAGAGTTTTTGTATGTTTGTTTAATATGTTATAATGCTGGTCTTCTGGTGCCCAAGGCAAGACTTGGGTTTATGATCTAATCATAGCATCACAGTGTGACGACAAGGCTTAGACCATGATTGATCCTGACATCTCCTGGTCAAGAACGGAAAGCTCAATTCTCTCTCGCCGCAGGGATCGCGACAAATTCTGAGCTGTTGGATGACAGATATAGGCATCACTGCCCATGTGTTAGTAGGAGTGAAAAATCACTACGCTGGAGGCCTCTATTGTACATCTATTAAATATAGCTTGTAAGTATTTAAATACGTCCTGTCTGTGCACACCTGATCAGATTCCTTCTGTCACCAAAATAGCACAGTACTTGATTGACTTTTCCACTTGTCTGACTAGGTAGGAAACAGACGCACAAATCCTACTAATCCTTGACAACCAAATTACACTGAGGCTCCTGATCGGTATACTGACACCCGCTGCTATATCTCTCACCCCACTTGGGTGTCTTCAAGACCACACTGAGTGACTGGACAAAAACAGAGGGAGTGCTTTTTCGATAGGTATGCCACTTCGATGAAACATAAATTGTGTCAAATGTGAGAACTTTCCATTGATGGTGTTATAGTTGTTCTGAGATGCACACATAAATAAAATGTTTTTATTGCAGTCAAGTAAATGGTGACTTAAAGCCGCCATGATGTGTGGCGGTACATGCTGGTAATGGCCAAAAGTTGCACTAGTTAGAGCTTGAAGGTACAATTTCTTTTTTGCTGAGCATCAAAGTAAAATGTAAGAGACTATGTAGTCACTCAAAACTGTTCATTAATAGCACTTTCAATGACAGTAGTCTTTTCAAAAGGATATAAGGGAAGTTTTGCTTCATTCATAATGTCACTGTTTGACCTCCTTGTGTCAAACATCTATTTCTGTTGAGTGAGCATTAGTTGTAGATGTGTGCTATTTGTGGAAACACATAACAAGTTGTCTAGTCTGAGCATCTTGTCCATTTGACAGAGGAATTGTCGCTATAGTGTGAAAACAGTACCTACTGCAAAGCTGAGGCTTAATGCTTGTCTCAGCTTTCTGCTTTCCCCCATCAGATCGCTTTTATTCAATCACATAGGCTGAGACTTAGAGGCAGATGGAGTCTTTTACTTTTGTATACCCAAGGGTGATAAGGCAATTTAGGGTTACTGAGGTCACAACTAGGCAATTTTTCTTATTCTTCAATCTCGGGGGTAAATTGCCTGCCACTGGGCCGATAGTGTATCTCCTCATCCGAGTCCTCCGGCCGGGGTTCGAAGCAGCTGTCAAACTTACGCCTGAGACGTTTCTTGAGCTGGAAGGTGCGCACCGTGTTGGAAAAGTTGTATTCCTGCTCCTTCAGTTTGGCATAGTAGTCGGAGAACTTGTTGAACAGAATGGAGATGGGCATGCCGTTAAGGATGATGCCAAAGGAGATACAGCTGAATGCCACACAGCGGCCGAGGTAGGAGATGGGGACAACATCTCCATAGCCCACAGTAGAGATGCTGACCTATAGGAAAAAAGGAATAGCGTCAGCTTCCATAAAATTACTCAAAGCCAGTGCTCTCTCGTGTAGATTTAAGTAGGGATCAAGAGAAGAGCAGAAGAAGTTTTTAGTTTACTCCTCACAGTACCTGCCTTTCACCTGGCCTCATGCACTTTGTATCCATTACTTTCTGTGAATCGAGTAATTAAAATGCTTTTTTTATATTTCTTGAATGCAATCACTCTGTCTGGCTACAAATGAGACGCATTACGCAGCATTAGAGGGAATTAGACACATATAAATTCACAGCTGCCACCAGATAAATGAAAACCATGTCCTCAGATGATACTGAAAGACACACAGAGTACCAGGCTGGTGACACAGTGTGACCCATGTGAACCTAGAAATGGTGTGATATTCATACCTCTAAATATTGATCATTTATATATGAAGCTTGAAAGTAAATTTGCATAAGTTACTGTTTAACCATATGACAGCTTGGCGGCCATCAGTAGCCACTCTCCACATCTGTATAGGCTAGATAATTTATATCAAGTTTATGTGACCCTAGAGTTACTCCACATCTTTCTCTTCGTTTCACATATAGCACCAATTATGGAAGATACTTTGGGGTAAGAATTACACAAAGGCAAATCCTACATTTATTATAGTTAGTAGGTTTTTCTGCAAGAGAGACGATTTCAGAATATTATTTAGCCAACCATTAATTCACTAAAGAAGACTGTGTTTGAGCTCTTGAATATAATCAGTGTTTACTGCATTTTAAAGGCATAAAAATAGCACGGAACATGATCTGTACTGTGAATCTGCCTTGGTCTGACTAAGCAGGCAGCACAAATCCAGATAGACCTAATCCCTGACACCCGAAATGCACTGCACTGCTTGATCATACTGACACACCCCAACTGAGCTTCCCTTCAGCGCTGTCAAGAGAAAGAGCTTACCAAAGCTTCATAACTGAGTTAATTGATCCGGAAGAAGCTGAGTGGCAGCCGGTGAGAGCTGGCTACACGCTCTAAATGCTGTAAAACATTAATTGCCCCATTCATAATGAAAAGATGTGGAGCAACTGTGGTGTTATAAGTAGGGTTACATCATCAGTGTGGCTGGACCTAAAAATTGGACTTGAAAATATTTTCAAAAATAATTTACAATATCATCACAGCTGCCATTAAAAAGAAGAAATAATTCCCAGAGTGTTAAAACTTTTATAGAAATCACTAAAAGCCACAAAAAAAAACCCAAATCTGATGTTTTAGTTATACTGCATTTGTAACAAGCATCCCAAACATATTAGAGCCATAGAACTTTACTGGACGTAGAGCTTGTCCCGTACTCACCGCAGCCCACCACCAGGCATCTGGTATGCTGCTGAACGGTGTCCCGGGCTGATCCACCTCCACAGAATGCATCAGAGCAGAGAAGGTGAAGATGCCCATGGTGATGAACAGAAACAGACAGCACACCTGCAGCACGACAGAACAGAGCACGTCAATGACAGCGCTTGTTTATATAAAACTATGTCATAAAGCAGATACTATTTTAGTGGCTTTCATCCAGTAATATGACAGTTTGAGATGTTACTATAAAGCCTTCCTGACATTTCTGCACTCGGCTGTGTAAGCTTTGTTCAATTAATGGGTTTTAAACACATCATATGCAATGAAACCGTTCTGTTTTTTGTTAATTAAATGAATAAATGTGATATTATGTTACATTAGTGAAGTTTAGAGCTGCTGGTAGGTGGATTTTGTTCTTTATCATAAGCTAATCATCTAGTGTCACTCTCTTCAAGAAATAAAATATGCAAATTTAAATCGATTGTGATATCCTATTGTAAAACTATCATAACCTTCTTCTCTTCTCTTCTTATCTTATCTCATCTTCTCTACTTCTCTTCTCCTAGTGGTGACTTTCACATAAAACTACCTCCTGTTCCTCTTATGTCTCTTTGCCTTGCAGGTTGCCATGTTATTCAAAGGCCTTCAAATGTTACCAGCATTTGTGTTTATTGATTATTCCCTTCATACCTGCTCAGAGCACTGGCGGATGGTGAAGCCGAAAGCCCTCATGCCGGTGGAGTGACGGGCAAGCTTCAAGATACGGAAGATGCGCATGAGCTTGACCACTTTGAGCACCTTGCTGACTTTGCTGACTCTTGACATGGCCTTCAAATCCTCCTGAGCACTGATGTCTTCAGCATCTAATACAAAAGTCTCAAAAATGATCTGGAGGAAGTAGGGCATGACGGCTACCAAATCGACAAAGTTGAGGGCGCTCTTCACAAAATGCTTGATGTTTGATGTGGTGAGTAGTCGCAGAAAGTACTCCAACGTGAAGAAAAGGATAGAACTAACCTCCACCCACTCCATGTAGGTTTTGCCTGCAGGTTTGTACTGCCTAAGTTCTTTGACTGTATTCAGAGTCATGGCAACGATAGAGATAAGCACAAAGAGACTGGAAAACACTGCAAAGGCTTTGGCTGACAGTGAGGAGTAAGGATTCTCCATCAAGTCCCAAAGTGCTTTACGAAAGTTTCCAAGAAACATGGTCTTGTAGCCCTCGTCATCATGGTGAGGTTTAATCTCATCTATGAGCTCCTGGTTAACCTTCAGGTGTTCTCTGATGTCGTCCAATTTCTCCTCAAACAGAATGCGGCAGCACCTGAGAAAGACAGACAAATGCTTTACCATAGCTACATTTTAAATATCCACAGACAAAGCCACAATAGATACACTGCATATCAAATATCTACAGCACACCTTGGAGTATCCTTCAGTTTGAGCCCCCAGAATGAGATCTCTTCCTCAAAGTTGACAGGACACAAGCCATCCATCACCCACAGAACATTACTGCAGTAAAAGTGAAATATGTAATGGAAAAACATGGGGTCCCTGTCAAAGAAGAACTCGTTGTTCTGAAAATTATAATCGTCACAGAGCGTCAGACGCTTAACTGGATCATTGCACAGAGCAAGGACTCCGATCCTGGTCTTTGGGTATCGGAGGACCAAGTGTTTAGGGATGTGAAACACCTTTCCACCCACATTTAGGTTGACAATGTTTGATTGCCAGGGGTTAGGTGCATCCGTCTTCTCATCTTTTTTCACCTCTTTTCTGGCACCAGGAGCGTCAAGGTTGTCCATTGATGTCCACGGTTTTACTGAGCTGTCCTGTGAAAAGGGGAATTCACTCTCCTCTTCTTCGATGCTTTGCGTGAAACTCAAGTCGCGTTTTACGGATGCAAAAAGACTGGAGCGACGTTTTTTTAGAATTTTCCACTTCTCCATTGCGACAGCTGCTCAGAAGACCAATCACTGGAAAATGTTTTATGCCGAGTTTGAATCAAATCACAGGAGAAAAACGATAATATGTTTTTTCTTTAAATCTACAATATCAAGCAAAAATATCACCATGGTAAAAAAGAAAAAAAAATCCTCCAGGTTGAAATAAAGACAAAGAAAGAGCTGTGGTACTTTTGAGTCACTGTGCAAGAAGATCAACTGCATGAGTTAGGGCTTCAGCCTCTTCACTGATTCTCTAATCCTATTGCTGTTCTTTCTGTCCCAGCGCAAGTTAAAAATACTGTTCACAAGGATTAGTGTTGTGATTTAAGGCTTTGACTTCTGAGAGAGGAAGAAAAGCAGAGAGGGTGGTGTCACGACAGTATGGCATGGCTAACAAGGCTACAGAGAGCTTTTACACAGGATATTCAGGTAGATTACGCAAATTATCAGCTATGGCCTTTTTGACCTATTGCTGAACTAGTTAAACAAGCCTGATTTTAGAATTAAAGTCAAAATACATTAAAATTAATAATGACTGATAAAAATTCTCTTTGTTTTCTGTATATTCTGCACAGACCCTTATCACTGTTTATCACTGATATGTTTCTCTTTACAATAACTCACTGGTATAATTGACAAAGTATTCATTTCAATATTAAGTCAAGCCAACTAAAAACAAAATGTTGATTATATAACAGTGAATTTATTTAATAATGTACTGAATCAGTAACCTTTTTGATACTGACTTTGGATAAATAGGCTGTGTTTTTTGACTGATATCACAAGCATTTCTTTGCAAGCTCCTTTGACTACGATGACCTGGATGACTGAGAACCTTCACAGACACAAGCATTTGTAGTTACTCCAATAATTCAGTATTTGAATTGTCTGTATGTACGCACAAAAAAAGAGATACAGTTACACAGAGACAAATTCCTTTCTCTGTTTCTGCACATTAAAATAGTTTTGGGAACTCTGTGAATAATGGTTTGGCCCAGGTTTCCACCATGGGTGCTTCGAATGGTATTTCCCAATCTACCGGAAAAGAAGGTAACTACGAATGTATAATAGTTTTTATTAAAGTTCGTTATTGTTGTTATTACTCGTAAGTTTAGATTCTGTTACTTGTAATTTGATTAAAAAATAATTTAAAATTTAAAATTTTAATAAACTAAAAGATTACAGTTGCCATATATGCCATCCGAGCACCACGTGACTTCCTTTCCGGTCTAACCTGACAACATGGACGCCAGCCGCGTGCAGCCCATCAAGCTTGCAAGAGTAAGAAAATCTATAAAACGCTGAAAATTATCGTATCAAAGCGATTAAATGCCCACAACAATAAGTATTGTTTCAAATGGGCTCAAAATTTTTAGGCTAAATCCACTTTTTGTGTCGTAGTTAGCAAACGTCTCTTCGGCTCTCGTGCTTCTATCATGGAGGCCTGTCAATGCTACAGTCTCTGCTAGCTGCCGCAGTACTTATGCTCACTTTTCTTTATTCTCTGTGTTCGTTAAAAATTATATATATATGTATTATATTGAATTTAGAGATTTGATGTTCATGTTGCTCGTGTTTTCATTTTCAGGTCACCAAGGTTCTCGGGAGAACCGGTTCCCAGGGACAATGTACACAGGTATGCTAGTTTGGCTAACACCTCAAATTTTATCCGGCACAAACCAGTATCTGCGATTAATATTTACTTTTTATATGTGTAAGCTTACTTTGAGTTATTGCCAAGGATATACACAATCTAGGGCTGTAAATTCATGTGAAATTAAAAACTAGATTTCTAAACAAAGGAAAAAATGACAAACGATATTTTGTACCTCTTAAAAAGGGCTAGGATGAAAAATGCAAGTTTCGTGTTGTCTTAGATAATTTGTTTACACATTAAGTATGAGGTATTGAGACAGCTGTTTGAAGTTTGGACATTGATTTAGCTGTAAGTCAGGGGTTTTGTTTGTATCTTTAAAAACAAAACAAAAAAACTTGATCTGAGCTTAACTTTTTGCTCCTGATAAATATCCTCCATAGTATTGTAACTAAAGTCACTAACGTTGAAACTGGGCAGATTCGCTCTACCAACTAACTGAAACTAAGCTGAATTATTATCAGAAGTTTAAGATGAAAAACTGATTAAGCTACAAAATATGACTCCTCTGATTTCTTTTACCACAAAGGAGGCAGGTTATTTTGGGGGGGACAAAGTTTTAACCTGGATTTTAACTACTAATGACATACTCGAGCAAGCCATTGATCCTAACTGGAAACCACGTTTAATAGAGAAACCAGATGTATCTTTGAAATGTATCAATGCTTTTTTTTTTTTTCTTGCCATCACCAGTGTGTGAATGGCAAGCTACATTGTGGCTACAATGTAGCTTGCCTTAGGGGGACTAAGTCCTTAGGGACTAAGTAAAGCGCTATACAGATGCAGGCCATTTAACTCAGTTGTCATTTAGTGTGCTGTTTGGTGTACTGGTTACTTGGGCTAATGATGACAATTTATGTTACATTCATAGCTACACCCAACTTAAGCCCCTTTTTTCTTAGTACCTACTCAGATTGACTTGCAGTGGTTTTCGGGGTTTTCCATTAGGTCATACTACTTGCTACCTGCTAACGGGGTTACAAAGCGATCTGAGCAGGTAGGTCCTAAAATGTTGCATCACCAGACTGCATGCCACCGATTCGCTGGTCAGTGTCTGGATGAGAGCGTTACCAAGTCAATCTGTGTAGGTACTAATGGGAAAAGGGTCTATAGTTAACATACATGTGTTTATACTTCCATTCTTCAAACTGCTGTAACACTGTGCTGCCCACTAACTGAGTACTTTATTACTAAAATGTGTGTTCACTTGATTGTTGGGTGTTCACTTGATCGCTTTTACAGCATTGCAGAGTGAGATCCTCAGTTACTGTTTTCTGACAGTGAAACAGCAGGGAACGGAGTCGGGGTCCCAAAAATTAAGCAGATTATAAAAAATAACGTTTGAAAAAAATGCCATCCGAATAAATTTTTAGATATTGTGCTATATCACCCCACAGTTACTCCTTGTTGAAATTGATTATCATGACCATTGGTTTATTTTCCATGTTAAGTGGATAATTTAAACAGCTGAAAAATTTCCAAATAAATATATATTTTGAATTACGACTGCTTTGCTCCCTTGCCACAGAAAGGAATGCATAACAAAAACAAAATGAGGAAAAATCCATATAGGCTGTCTGTAAACATTTGAACAAAACCCTCTTTAATTGGTACATCATTAATTTAAACAGAAAAATTTGTCTGCTGTAGAGTCATTTTAATGTTTAAGTTTTGGGCACTCCCGTTTCCCACCAGGTCCGTGTCGAGTTCATGGACGACAGCAACCGCTCAATTATCAGGAACGTGAAGGGCCCAGTCAGAGAGGGAGATGTGCTGACACTCCTGGAGTCTGAAAGAGAAGCCAGGAGGCTGCGATAGGTGAGACGATATAACCTCAGGTGATCAGTGTTTTGAGTCATTAAACTGTCAGCATTGGTGAAGCCCACAGTGAGAGTGCTGATGGATAATATGCATTTGACCTTAGATACTTTGATGATGCTGAACGTTATTGTTATTAAAAACTTAGTGAACCAAGAACAGTTTATGATAATAAAACACTGCGGGGGAGGTGATGACAATGTTTGCCGTTGTATTGTAGTTAACAAGAAGTAAAAAATATTCCCATAGTACTAACATGCACTATGGGAATATTTATATTCCTTATATAACCTCATAAGGTTAGAAAAAACATTTTAAATGGCTTGCAGCAAATCATATTGCGGTTCAATCTGTTTTTGGCTTTGAAATGTCCACAACGAGTCTTAAACTCAACCTAATGTTCTAAGTTCTCAATTCAAATATCTGCGGTATTAGATCATAATTGCATCTTGGCCACTGGTCAGAAGCTCTTATCTAGTTAAAGTGTAACAGAGCTGCACAAAGGTTGCCTGTTTTCAGTGTGTAGGGAATATGTCCCATGGTGGTCAGGGGTTGATGTTTGAATTCTTCCTTCAGTCCTCCCGATAGGCTGCTCATGTCTAATGCTGCTCAATTCAGAGCGTATCAGTGTTCCAAATTTGGGAATGTATAAGACTTGAACACAGGCTTAAACCTTTCTCACTTGCTCTGTCTTCACAGTGCCCGCTGAAGCTGCCAATCCAACACTGTGGAGCATCAACTACAGCAGGATGCAGTCTTTTTCAGTGGACTACCCGCCACTTGTTCAGATGTTTTGAAATAAATTTGAGTTGAAAATTATCCTTGAAGTCTTGTTTCTTTTATACTAAGTGATTTTTTTTTTTTTAATTCAATAAACTGGAACATTAGCCTGCCATGATAAACTTGCATGAGACAAGTAATAGCTCATTATTGATGCATTAATAGTAGGTGAGGTGTGGCTGTCAAATTCTTGTACGCTGAATGTGAATTAAGGTAAATAATCCAATACTTCTATACATTTAGTTACTCTGAAGTGTCAACTTCTCAACTCATTCCATTACAGTTCAAAAGTATTAAAATAGACTAGTTTTAAACTACTCTTTCAGAGTAAATGGATGTTAGTTCTTTCAACTGTTTCCTTTAGAGGTCATTAAATGGAAAAATCTACCACCATCTCACCCTGTCCCTAACATCCGCGTCTGTCATACAAACTCCCTGCATGTCCTTTATCATGCCCATGAACATCAATTGTCAAGTATATCCACCTTCACTCCTGTGCACGTGTCCAAACCATCTCTCCTCTTGACCTCCAGCTCCTGTAAATAATTCTATAATTACTTTTTCCCAGACACAGATAAGTAGATTTATTTTTAAATAGCAAACATTACAAGGCTAATATAGCTGTTTTCTGTTGCACTGTTGTGTATGAAAATTAAGGAATTTCCACAAATTTAGCGGGCACGCCATTATTTCACCTTGTGCAGTTTACGTTCCGTCCAGCAGGGGGCAGTGTCTGAGTTTTAAAAGCTAA